ACACCCCTCACACCCCTCACACCCCTCTGGGGCACTGCCACACCCCTCACACCCCTCTGGGGCACTGCCCCACCCCTCACACCCCAGCCAACCCTCCAGAGAAGGACAGTCAGCAGGATAGTTTGCTGTAGTGAGTCACTGGCCTGGCAGAGCAAATGTGTTACCTCATTCAGTGCTGAAAGTGTTCTGTTTTTGTTGACATACTGAGAGCTACCACACTTAGGACATGTGCTGACTAAAATAATCCCTTTATCAGGAATTCAAAGCACTACAGCTATTAACAACATATCACAGGCAGTGAATCATAGGAATTGGTTGTTAGATTCAGGTCTCAAATGGGATGACTTATCAGTTTCAGTTTTGTCTGTAGCAGAAGACATAAGACAAGATAAAAAAGTAACAGCCTTCAGATATAGAAATGAATGTGCAGAATGATCTTCCCAAGAGCTGTCTTGCAAATTTTTCAGTTAAACTGAGACAAACTCAAAGAGCCTGCTTTTGGGGTGGTGGGTACTCTCTTTAAATAGAGACTCAATGGCACTTTCTTTAAGAGAAGACTCCTAACACCCTTGGTGTAAAGACTTGTTTCCTGCTCTGAGTCTTAAATTGTGGTCAAATTTAAAATTACACATTCAAGGAAATAATGTATAATTCTGGTATTATTCCTGCTTCTTGATAATTTAAAAATATTTGAAATTATTCTAAAAAACAGATAACAGCAATTTGATCTAGAGGTCGATCTTATTCGTTTATTCTTCTAAGCCTCAAGAAGACTAAGAAAATTTCTGTTTACATTCAACAAAACGTCCACGATATCTCCATGTTGATAAGGTGATTTTTATAACGCTCCGGCTGGCATTGACAAGCTTTTTTTAATCTGTTGTGAGTAATAAAATCGCTAATTGACAACCAGGTTAGATTAAGATTACCAAATGAATAAAATGTGACTCCTGTATTAGGCCTACCCTGTGTCCACAGGCGTCTTCAAACCAAGAATCTGAAATCTACATTTATTTTTAGTCTCCAGCACAGTCAAATCCCTTCGCAATCCCGCTCTGCTCTTAAAATGAAATCTCATTATCCAATTTGCAGGTCTGCGAAACATTGTGTGGATCGGCACCTTTGATTGGCGCGTTGCCCGTTTCTCGCTTGTTGTATGTTGCAACCACTTAACGCGGTGAGGGCCCCCCTACATTACTTATATTGCGTGCGTGTAGACACGCTCGGCCGCAGTCGTCTCCCCCGAGCACCGAGAGACAAGATGCACGCTTTGGTAAATGCGTTTCTGCGCTGCCTCTCGCTGCTCCTGCCTCCCCCCTGGTTTCAGCTCGGCTTTTGCTGGTGGGTTGGGGATGAGTGCAGAAAGACGGTGCTGCCCAATCCCAGGGCTCGTTTCAAAGGGAGAAAGCCTCTTACAGATCAGGAAGTAAGAGCAGAAGACGCTCCCGTCCCCTCCTCTTCCCCTAACACTAGGTGCGTCTCGCTAGCAGTCGCCTCCTCGCCGCCCCCGGGATCTCCTTTAGGGAGAATCTGGGAGCTCTGGCAGGCTTTTGAGCGTAACCTCGGGGCTCCGCTCGCGTTCCCCCAGCGCTTGTCCCCCAAGACCTGGGGTTCACGGAGCACGTACGCGGTGGCTTGTGCGAGCACCGAGCGAGGCACGTCCGCACCTGAAGTCGGTCAGGAGGCAACCGCGAAAGAGGAACCCGGGGATTTCGCGGTTCTGGCGGAGGCTGGGCTCGCTAGCCCGGCGATGGAGACGCCGAGCCGCCCGGAGCCCGGGTCCGAGTGGGAGCCGCGGGGCCAACAGCTCCAGGAGATGGGGACCCAGGTGAAAATCCGCGTGGCTATCCAAGCGGCGGAGGACGAAGACCCCGAGGGCGACCTGGTCCCCGATCACCTGTATTTCAGAGGAGGCAGCTGTAGCGAGGACGAAATGGGCAGACACGATAAGTCCAGGTATATTGTTGTCATTGTAAAATCAGTGTAACTGCCGTAATTGTAAACAGGCACACAGTAAAACCAGTTGTTTTAACACTTGTTACGTTTAGTCTGGGTGTAAATGCGTTGCCGATGTAAACTATAAAAAGGGTACGAACAGTTTTTAAACGCCGGGAGTGTCTGGAGGGGATCTCCTCTTCGACCACCTGTATAAACGCATATCTTGCCCAATGTGGCGGGTTGACCACTAAACTTGCAAAGCGAACGCCGTCGGATGACATCTGAGGGCGAGCGCTCTGTAGCGGTGTCTTCTGCTGTAACCTTTAGTCGTTTCTAAACCGAATATACTTAGAGCATCCAGATGTGAAATTGCGGTGCCTCTAGCAAGCGTTTATTTTTAGTATGGCGCAATTGTTTTCTTGTTCAGCATTTAATCTGATTAAATTGGCAGCATTTACGTCTCCGATGCTGCGTGTTTTAACTGAGGTTGCATATCTGCTAGCTGTTTAAATGGCGTTTTGCATGGGGCCTGTAGTGGGTAGGAAACTGTTTTGGGGAATAAACAGTTTATGCTTTGTGCTGCGTAAAAGAAATGAGCATCGCCAGATCCGACAGACCATAAACCAAGACAGCGCTCGCATTTTCACCTTGTAGCAGACCAAAACCATGCGGTGCCCTAAACCCTGTTTTTATTCAGTACGTTCTTGAAGAATCCTTCCTGTTTCTTAAGCTTTTCATATTGGTTACTTCAACGAGTTCTCCAGGTGTGAATGCTCGGGATTTACAGCACCTCAGTGGTACACTAGGTCGTCGTCCTGTTTAGGGGTGTTCTGGTAAACGGGAGAGATCCACCCCGGCAGTTTAATCCTCAAGGGCGCACATCAGCATTCTTCTACACCAACTGCAACAGGCTGTGCAAGAAGGGGGTTGGTGCTACTACAGATTTCGAATCCTTTCCCTTTTATGTGGGGGGGGGTATCCCCCTGAGTCCCAGAGCGTTTTTAAGTAGCTAATCCTACTGGAGATGCAGTATAAGCCTGAATTTGACGACGTCATCAAACAGCTATGATGCAGATGAGAGGCGTCTCTGTAGGATGACCGGGGAGTGACCGTTTCCACACTTAAGTGTGTAGGACCAAGTATTTAATTCAAATAGCTGCGCCATGGCGGCGAGCAAAATAGTAAACAGGCTAGACCACTGAATACGGAGCCTTCTTACTGAATAGGAGACTTCAGCAGCTTTATTCGAAGCTTTTGTAACGCGTCATCTTTTGGTTATGCTAGTAACCTTTCAAAGTACAGGCAACTTAGTTCATGATTACATGTACTGGCAGGGAGTATAATTGGTTTTGGATTGGAGTGAAATATGTCGGGCTTTGAAATCTGAAGAGCTGTTAGCCATCTGATTTATCACATGGCGTCCGTGTAGAATCTGTCGCTCACGTTGCGCTTGTGGTGTCTTGTGATCGCAGGAGCCGGAGGCGCTGTGGGGGAGGCTCCGGTCTGTTGCTGTAATGAACAGTAATTGCACAGCTGGTTCTACTCTCTACCCCCAGACGTTAATTAGAGCTCCCTAGGTCCACTGATGTCGAAGTGTCTGGTCTCACCTCAGGCAGGCCTGTCCTGTTGTATTTAGAAAGGGAGCTGAAAAGCATTTTCTGCAGTAGCCCTCCTCCCAGTTCTATCGATTTTCGTCGTGGGCAGAACTGATTTTACGAGCAAGTGTTACGGCAGTGTGCCTGGTGTGTACAGTTACCTTGGGGTGAACCTAGTGAATTAAAGCTTTTGGTTCATCCAGATAAAGTCCTGTGAACTGTTTGAGGAGTCAATTCAATTCAAGGTGCTTTATTAGCATGGCTGATGGGTACAGTCAGTGTTGCCAAAGCAAATAAAATGAAATTCACATGAAACAAAAAATAACTAATCTACAGACACTTACAACAATGACATAAAATATTTACATATACTGCAGACAGAAGGAGCATTATTGGGAGACAGACTCACTGTTCCTCAGGCTGGGACAGGAGATCACATACTGGGCTGCCAGTTCCACTGAGTTCCCTCCTCCCTCTCCCAGTAGGATTGGGACCCGTTGTGATTCTGGCAGGTGTGGGAAGTCCCTGTGTACTTGGCAAAGAGGTGTATAAACACAGCAGCAGAGTGGGTGAGCGGTTTAAGATGGGAGGGGAAGTAGTCTGAAGGTACTCATGCTGTTGATACTGAAGTCCTGAAAGCAACTTCATTTCTGCCTTTATAGCTCCAGGTCTTTGAGTAGTGAACGTGTTCAAGTTAACTGACCAAACCAAGTGCTTTTAAATTAAAAATCTTAATGTCTGGTTTATTGTAAAATTCTGAAGATTTAAATATTAGAGATGGATGTTTTTAACATGCAGCAGTTACATGTGTGCAGGTAATGCATCGTTTGTAGTTTTGTGAGCTGTAGATGTTCATAGTACTGTGATTACCAGCATTTGCATAGTGTTGGAAATGTATTTCCACTTTTTGATGAGGGTTCTGTTCATCTATTCAAGGTGCCGAACCAGCAAGAAGGTAATAGGAAATGCAGCCTCTACAATGGAAAGTTAGTGCTTTTAATCATTTAATCAAAAATCTGGGTTTTCTTTTTCTGAATAAGCAAGGTACTGAACAGTTCCGTGTCGTCTTCATTTTTAAATGGTTTACAAATCCTGTGCTGGCTGTGATGAAAGCCAATGAAGTTATTGGGATCTCAACATGAGCAGGAGGATGCTGTGCCTCTCAAGAGCCAAGGAAGTCCTTGGTTGAAGAACTGAAAGTTTAAATACTTGGCTCAGTGGACAAATGGTACAGACTCACTGCGGGTTGAGTCTGGAAAGTGCTGCTTTGTGGTGAGAGCTTGTTCTCTTGGCCAGTGGCGCGGGGACCAGCGGAGGAGAGAATGAGGAGGACGGCTGGCAGCCCCCCGACCCCGAGCTGACCCAGAAGCTCATTGCGCAGATTGAGTACTACCTGTCGGATGAGAACCTGGAGCACGATGCCTTTCTGCTCAAGCACGTCCGCCGCAACAAGCTGGGCTTCGTCAGTGTCAAGCTGCTCACCTCCTTCAAAAAGGTACCCTGTGCCACAAGTGGGCCCCTCAGTTTAACAGGCCTGGTCTTATTGGCCACTATATTACAGGAACTGGGAAGTGCTTAAATTATTTCTAGTCTGTATTAGTATTGCACTACGAAAAGTAACTGATTGTAAAGGACTATTGTACCATTTAATTATCAGTTTTGTTAAACCTAACTAAAACCAAAATATGGAGTCCAGCTTTTTTGCTCGGTTGCAAGCTCTGCAGCTGTGTACAGGAGAACTGGGGGCTGTGGCCAAACTGACCTCGCCGCCTTTGAGCCCAACGCATGCGTGATTTTTTTTTTTCCAATGCCGCATGCTGTGGGGCTCTGCCGGCTGGAGGAGAGGTGCGCCCCTCTCTGCTGTACCCTCGCAGTGCCAAGTGCCCAAGAGGCTGCAGGACTGCTGGCAAAGTCTGGAGCCAAAGCAGTCTGATCCTAAACTTTCCCTGGGGGGCACTTGGACAACCGCACTGCTGCTTGGAGAATCCAGTCTGTCAGTTAGGCTTCCGTGGGGGTGTGAAGAAAATCAAGCCCCCAGCAGCCATCAGACATGATAATGGACCCCATTTACACATCCTTCGGATGAGACGTAAAACCGAGGTCCTGACTCTCTGTGGTCATTAAAAATCCCAGGGTGTTTCTCGAAAAGAGTAGGGGTGTAACCCCGGCATCCTGGCCAAATTTCCCATTGGCCTTTACCAATCATGGCCTCCTAATAATCCCTCTCTATAAATTGGCTTCATTACTCTGCTCTCCTCCCCACTGATCGCTGATGTGCACTATGGCTGCACATTGGTGGTGGTGGAGGGGAGTCCCCATTACCTGTAAAGCGCTTTGAGTGGAGTGTCCAGAAAAGTGCTATATAAGTGTAAGTTTATTATTATTATTATTTTATTATTTAAAGTAACTTGGCAAATGTGCTAAGCAAAATCCCTATCTAACATTAGTGAAGCCTCCTCTTCACCTTAGTGTAGCTCTCTGACATGTTGGCATTTATTGCACAGGGAGATGAATGAGCCTTGTGATCAGTTGCATGTACCCGCTTTGTATTCCTTTTAAAATAAAGTGCAAGCCCAGCACTGTGGAATTGTAGCTCACGCCCTGCGCAGGGCCGGAAGTAATCTTTGGTGAATTGTGCTCCCTCACAGGTGAAGCACCTGACCAGGGACTGGCGGACGACGGCCTACGCCCTGCGCCACTCCGAGCTGCTGGAGCTGAACGAGGAGGGCCGCAAGGTGCGGCGCAAGGCGGCCGTGCCCGTCTTCCCCAGCGAGAACCTCCCCAGCCGCATGCTGCTGGTCAGCGAGCTGGGTCCAGCCGTGGAGAGTGAGGGCGGCAGCGCCGCCCAGCAGGAGAGGCTGATGGAGATGCTGCTTAAAGCCTTCGGGACCTACGGGGTTATCTCCTCGGTGCGCATCCTCAAGCCGGGGAAGGAGCTGCCGCCGGACCTTAAGAAGCTGAGCGGGCGTTACAGCCAGCTCGGCACGGTCGAGTGTGCCATTGTGGAGTTTGAGGAGATCGAGGCAGCCGTCAAGGCCCATGAGGCCATGGCCAGCGAGGAGGAGGAGGGGGGCCCCCCGGGGCTCAAGGTGGTTCTTATAGGAACCAAACCTCCCAAGAAGAAAGTCCCCAAAGACCGGCAGTGGGAGGACGGAGGCCCACGCAAGAACCGCTCTCTGAACAGCAGGGTGCGGGAGCTCCAGTACCTTGGCGACGACTCGGCCTGCAGCTCTTCGGAGACCGAGAGCAATCCCACCTCTCCCCGGGTGGCCCGCAAGGCCCGGCCAGCCAGCAAGCTGAGCCCGGGGGGGGGTGGCGGCTACCAGCAGAACAACCACCTCAGCCCAGGTGTGTCCCCCCGATCCAGCCCCTGGAGCAGCCCCCGTGCCAGCCCCGCCACCCAGCGCAAGTCCCCCAACACCCGCAAGTCCCCCCTGGCCAGCGAGGGCCGGCTGAGCCCCGAGCCGGGCCGCAGGTGGGCGGACTACTCCTCAGACAGCAGCCTCACGCCCTCCGGCAGCCCCTGGGTGCAGCGGCGCCGCCAGGTGGCCTCGCAGGAGAGCAGCCCTGTGGGCAGCCCCATGCTGGGGCGCAAGATCCAGAATGCCGACGGTCTGCCCCCGGGGGTGGTGCGTCTGCCCCGGGGGCCCGACGGGACCAGGGGCTTCCACGGCGCCTCCGTGGGAGAGCGGAACAAGCCTGTTGCCGTTCAGACCTGAGCCGGTGGAGAGGGAGGGCCGCCCTCCCTTCTGCCCCCTTTCGCCACACTAGTGCCGCCATCGAGACCTGGTTTTCCTGAGGAAAAATGGACTATTTGGATTCCGTTCTTTGGAGTTTAGCTTTCCTTGTATTTGACACTTACAGATAGGCCACTTTTTATTTTATATAAAGCTATTCTACATGGTAAAATGGCATTTATTTTTCATAAGCTAGGAAGACCTGATATTAGACCTACAATTGTGTGTAACTGAGTGCACGAATGACGTGCTGCTGACGTGGCTCCAGCTTTCTCTAGCGCCTCGGTTTAAGCCTAGCCACCACCTGACACCAACAATCAGTTTCCTGCTGATGAAGGGACTAGGGTTGTAATACTACTGGCACGAATGTGATGCTTTTCTTGGTGAAAGTAACATCATGTTTTGGACATGCCACTTGAAGAACCCTTGCAGTGCGAATTACTGTGGACAGTGGCGCGACATAACTGTACAGGGGTTTCGCTTCAAACAAGCTGGAGGTGCTTGTGGGTATTTTTAACCCTCAGGGGATAGAGGTTTTAATTTCAAGAAGGGTACCCACTGCATTTTTGCTTTGGTTTGTCTTGACAGTAGCGGGTGCAGGCCTGGGGGTGACCCCATAGTGCCCCATGCCCCTGTCCTGCAGCCCTGTCTTCTGTTGATCTGAACTTTGCGCTTGAACCAGTTGGGAATGTCCAACAAAGCCCCCATTTGTCAAATGAATGTACTGCTTTTTCTAGCCTTTGAAAGACTATTAGTTTTGCCCTGTAAGTAAAGATGGTTTTATTTAAGAGCCTTCTCGGACTGCTTGTAATGAGAGGAAAATGCTTTCTGTTGGACATGATTCTGTAACTTTGGTCTAACTACAGTGTCACTTTCAGTTAAATGACTTTTTTTAGTTTTATTTTAAGCACCTTTTCCTCTTTTTGCAATCTGGTACTTTGAAGCTGGCATTTTTTGTGGGCATATTTGCTCAAAGGCTGAATTGCAAAGATTCAGCAGGTACTTGTGTATTTGCCACTGATCATGCCTTCAGAGAGCGGCATGCTGGGAGTTGTGATGGAAGGGGGTCATTGTGGTTTATTGGAGGACTGTTGTTTTTGTACATAATTATGAAATGTATAGTGTTGTACAAATAAAGCAACATCAATGGAATGGTTTTGACTGAGACTTTGCATTTTACTCCCTGGTTAAGAGGTCACCAACTGAATTATTACAACCCATTTCTCTCTAAAGATTTGGCCTCTTTACATTTTCATGTCTCCTGGATTAGCAATTCTGAAAGTCCCACACCCATGAGGAAGGGCTGGGTTGGGCAGACCAGTGGTGTGGAGACGGTGCTCTGGACTTCTAATTGGAAGGTTATGGGCTCAAATTGTAGGTGGGACTCTGTACAGGAACTGTTCAACTTAAAAGCTTTGCTCAATAGCAGTGTTGAATTGTTCTGCCTCAGTGTTCAAGAGGTAGCCTGAATAGCAACAAGACTAAAGGTCAAATGGCCAACCGTAATATGCTGTTCAGCAATTTAATCAATACTGGAAATGAACAGGCAGACATTGCACCAAGCCTGTGTGCAAAGTTACTGTACTTAAAAGGACTTTATAGCTCTAATTCCTGGGTAGATTCTACCACCAAATAGGTTTATGTAACCCACATTTATTTTTCCTTTCCCACTTTTGCTGAAATAACTGATCCTTAGATGTCTTTGGTTTGAGCATTAGTTTTGATAAACTATATAAAAGTACATTGTATAATGTCACAAAATGGGATTCCACAGGAAAGGTTCATTAGGGTCACTTTTCCTCCAGATTACAAACCAAAATCCTTAAGTGGTGTTTGAGTATGAATGCTTCTCCCTGTTTGCTCCAGGTTTGGAGTCTGGGAGGGATGAATAACATTAAAGGAGAATGGCAAAGCGATCTTTAAATTTTGGAGTTAGGAAGAATCAGCATTGAGTTAATTTCAAACTACAATGAAAGTTGCTACCTTAGTTTGCAGTTTGAATAAATCCCTCACCCAGGGTGAGACCAGCAGTTTGTGACATGGCAATTTACAGTACTTTCAAAAAATTCATTTTGTGCTTAACTTGGAACTTGTAAAATTTTGCAATAGCAAGTTTTAATAAGTCTGAGATCAGTGCTTGCCCTTTTAAAGCAGTTTTGACGAGATGGTATTTTGCAGGCAGTTTCCTACACTGTCCAATTTTAAACTTCCACTAGGACATTTTTATCCTTTGTTATAAAACAGTAACTGTACTTGTTACTTTTTCTGTTCTGAAGGTCAATAATACTTTGCAGTATTAAGCCCACCCATAGTTAGTTTCACAGGGTTCACTGTTATTGCAGCAAGTTCAACTTGAATGTGACCACAGAGACTCCAGGCTCTGTTTTGGTTCTCGAACTGTTTTCCAGATACAATTAACTCCCTGGAAAATTACACAGACGTTTGACAGTGTCATAAGCTGTCATTGATTTGGCACATCTCTTACACTTCGATACTACTTGAAACATGAAGATAAAGAACTGTTCATGCATGTCCTGCCAACACCCTGCACATGTCAGAGGACCTTAGGGAGATGTCTGCTGACTCCCTGGGCTTTTTCTTGGACTCCACTCAGCCCTTCATGGACATTGGCTGCAATGAGATGAGTGTTCCTCTCTCCCTAGTGACTGGTCTAATTTCAACAGTCATCAGCTCTTTGGTCACTATAGGTCACCTGTGGTTTCTGAAAAGTGGCGTACTGACTGGGGATGATCCCAGGGTCTGTATGTGGCTCCATACAGCTGGTTACCTCC